CATGTATATACTCCTAATATACATGTTCCTATAATACATATTTCTAAATATATAAATAAAATGTGTTCTGTACAATATTACTTGTAGGTAAATGATTTCAGGGCTGACTATTTGGTATCAGATAGCCAGTGTATGTATGGGATGTTCCCCGGAAAAGGCTATTTCTCTGGCTTTCAGCATTCTGTTGTTGCCTCTAGTTCTTTGTCTAGGCTTGGGGCCCCATGTAATTTCCTCCTTCCATGTTAGTCTATTGGTATCATCCTTATTTAGATTTTGTTGAAGCAGCCATGATGATGTCTCTACATGGCTGTTGTTTCTCTGACATTTCTAGACACAATCTCAAAACCATTTTCCTGTGCCTCTGTGTCTTACAATCTTTCAGCCTCCTCTTCTGCTATGATCCCCAAACCTTAAGTGCAGGGGTTGTGGGCTGGGTACCACATGATCACTTTTTCTCTGCCTTTTGGTTATTTGTGGTTTTCTGTAATGGTCTCCATCTGTTGCAAAAAGAAGATTCTTTGATGAAGTGTGAGGCCTATATTTATCTGTGGGTGTAAGAAGAAATATTTAAAATGTAGCTAGAAATTATGCTGTTTTAGAAAAGTGGTTGTTGTAGGTTTTCCTCCAAGAACCCTGACCACTAGCCCCAGGGAGTTGTCTAGGTTTCTTATACCAGACAAGATTTTCCTCTTGTTGAGTGAGCCTTAAGTCCAATTGAAGAACTGTTGGTTACCACCAAGGTACTCATGCCACTATTGCACCCTTAGGGATATTGTGATTTGCTGGTCATTTTTGCAGCTCATAAGCTTATAACTGGATAAAACCATTGGTCTTCTCTTCTTCCTTTGATGTTTACATGGCACCTTCTAATACTGTGAAGTTAGTCCTAGCAAAGTAGGCTTTTAGGTCACATTCAGCATGGATCATCTGGGTCCTGGGTTGGAAGTAAATGACCTTGTATCTTCAACCTCTGGGAGGCAACCAAAGACAACAGCAATAGTTGATAATGTTGTGGGAGCCTCTTGAATAACCCTGACCACAAATATCATCTATCTCTTAGCAAATCATTTCTGTAGTAAAAAGTTCAGCTTTGAATTTATGAACTACATCCAGTGATGTATCCTTAAATCTGAGCCAAGTTCTGAGCACATTAGTTAGTCCAGAAGCTAAGACATTTATCTTTGTTAGTTCTGAGTAACTTTTAAATTGTTGTGTATGCTATAGAAATCAAGCCATCATACATAGAAAACAGGCACACTGACTTCCACAGTTTGACTCTCTTTGATTTAGATATAGATTAGGACAACAGTCTTTCTCAGCAAAGTAAGTGTGTTTCTCTTATCAGTTCAATTAGGGGCTGTTTCCAACTGTTTCTAGATTTTTAAAAATTTATTAACCTTTAGACTTACTGACCTCTATCTATATTTCTGTGGCGTGCGGGAATCTGAGTAACCACACCCCACTTGCCGTTAGCATGACATCAGCATTCTCATCTGGAAGAGTAATTTATGACTGGGAAAGAATTAGGCAAGGAAGAAAGGGAGATGAGAACAACCAACCCCTGATGCTGTTGCTGGAGGGGAAAGAGGCCTTTTGGAGGATGCTCAGGAGTAATGAATAGAACTGTTGGGTTGTGCTAGGACAGATGGGTAGTGGCCAGGACTGGCAAATGAAAGACAGAGAAGCCAGTAACACACAGATAGCTCAAGGAATTCATGCCAGGAACAAGGGAATTTAGGCAAAGTGAATAAGAAAGAAAGAGCTAATTGTTCAAGTATCATGTCTCAGTTTTGATGGGAAACCCAAAAGGGGCTCAGAGCAAGAGCTTATCCTGGGTACCCTGTTCTTTTCGTAGGTTGTCTTTAATCCTACCCTTCCCACTCCTTCTCTAGTTTCTTCTCTTCTTCCACAACCCCCACTTACTGAAATATTTCCACATGAAAGGTTTATATGATGTCATCATCACCTCAACCATCAGTAAAAACATAATGCAATTATTTTAATAAACAAGAAAAACAAAGGAAATATGACTAAGTCCAGGGAAAACCAGGCAAGAGCCCAAAACATTGTGTCTCCAGGAAAGCAGCTAAAGGAATATCCCTCTGATCACATCCAACACCACCTCATGGAGTCTGGATGATGTCTTGTAGCTGAAAACCATTTTTCCAAGATATTGCAAGGGAGTGAAAGCATTCCCTTTCCTAAAGCATTATTTTCCTAAAAAAAACCCATTCTCCAAAGCATCTTAAGGTCTACAGCAAGACCTTTTTTTTATTTCTTTGCTTTCATTCCTTGCTTTAGTTCTGTTCCAAGAAATACAAAAAATTATCTATTGGGATTTCCATTTTTTGAGTGTTTCTTGCCAGCACATTCTACACATGGGTTAAATAAATGGTGTGAGGAGCATGGCTGGGAAGCATTACAAACAATAGAAGAAGGGACATGCTGTCCTAATGTGAGTTGGGAGTTTCTAATGCCTATGGGCTTGTCTAGTAGAACAGCAGCCATGAAACATAATCCTAAAGAAAATTCAAAACCTGTGTCTGCCTGACTTTAGCTGTGAAAAGTTGGCTTTAGTTCTTTCTCTTTGGGGGATGGCACAACATGACCACTGTAGGAAGTCCACATTAAGTTTAAGGACTACTGAGTTCTGGCTTAGTTTCTCCTCTTTAAATTACATAATTACAACATGCTCATTTTGTATAATGTTGCTGTATGTATGTTTTCAGGTCTGACCATTTGGTATTATGTTGGTGTGCTCTTCCCCAGGGAAGACTATTTCTCTTGCTCTCAGCCATCCTAATTTGCTTGTTTTTGCCTACCCTATCCCTCATCCCTGACCCCTGTACATGTTGACATGCCCATTCTTGTCATCCTTGTTCCAGTCATGTTTAATCAGTCATATTGATAAGTCTTTATGTGTGTAACTTCTCTGACATTCCTAGGAGACACACTATCACAATAACTCCTTTGCCTCTGCCTCTTAAAGTCTTTCCATTCCTCTCTTCTGTAATGTCCCTTGATCTCTAAATGCAGGAGTTGTGATGTACATGCATGCCCTAGAACTGGCCCACGCCACACATTAATCCCTGCCTTGTGATCACCTGTGGTTTGGGGAATGGCCTCTATTCACTGTAACGAGGAGCTGCTTTGACAAAAATGGTAGCTACACTTATCTATGGGCATAAGGATAAGATTTAGGATGCCATAAGGAGTTTTGATGAGCTAGAACATGGTGGTAGTAGATTCTTTTCTAAGATCTATGAACTTACCAGCCCCAGGGAAGCTCGCTAAATTTCTAGTACCAAGGATAATTTCCCTCTGGAAGTCCAATTAGACAGCTGTTGATTGCCAATGATATTTAAGTGGCTCTTCTTCTGCCATTTTGTATATCTTGCCAGGCTGGTAGTGGCTGCAATGTTGCAGCTTGGTAGGGCTATTTAATTCAGTGATTCTCAACTTGTGTGTCATGTTCCCACGGGGGTTGAATGAGCCTTTCACAGGGATCACTCAAGACCATCAGAAAGCATAGATATTACATTACAATTAATAACAGTAACAAAATTGCGGTTATGAAGTAGCAACAAAAATAATTTTATGGTTGGGGATCACCACAATATGAACTGTATTAAATTGTCACAGCATTAGGAAGGTCAAGAACCATTGGTTTAATTGCTTTATTTCCTTGGCAGCTTGCATAGTATTCTGGAACCATGGAAGTTAGATCAGAAGGAAGAGGCTTTCAGTACAGATTCAACTTGACTCTTCCAAGTTGTATATTATAGGTGAAGTTCCCTTCATGAATAGGTAACTACATTCTACCCCTGAGTAACAACTAAGGGCTACATCAATAATCTATGATGTCTGGGGAGTCAAGTTTTAACAGACCTTCAATTCGGTGTGCAAGTATATATATATATAATATTGTTTAGTGATTTGAAGGCAGTGTTTTAGTTAGGGTTTCTATTGCTGTGATGAAACACCATTACCAAAAGCAACGTGGGGAGGAAAGGATTTAGTTTGCTCACACTTTCGTATCACAACTCATCGTCACATGCAGCAGGGCAGGAATTCAAAGCAGGAACCTGGAGGCAGGAGCTGATGCAGAAGCCATGGAGGAGTGCTGCTTATTAGCTTGCTCCTCATGATTCACTCAGCCCACTTATAGAACTCAGAACTGTGAGCCCAGAGGTTGCACCACCCACAGTGGCCTGGCACCATTCCCTTCTATTACTAATTAAAAAAATGCTCTACAGTCTTGCCTAGAGTTGGATCTTACAGAGTCATTTTATAGACTTTCTTTATAGAGGTTCTTTCCAGTATTTTTCTTGTCAGATTGACATAAAAATGTCTAGGATGGGCATCAGTCAGATAACCCATATTATCATAAAGATATAGGAGTAGAGAGGGGGATTTTCTATGGATTAAGGGACACAAAAGAGAAATTAATACACACTATCATTTACAGGATCTTTACTATGTCTTCTATCCTCAAAACTCCTTTAACTTTTACTTCTTTTATTAAAATTGTTAATTGATTTTTATTGAGCTCTACGTTTAAACTTGTTTCCTAGCTACCTTTTCACCTTCTCTTTTAAAAATTTGTGGTTGCGATAGATATATGATGAAACATACATAACTGAACTTCCTGCCATCATGAGGACCAGGCAGCCTGGAGACACCTATGAAAAGCTCAGAGGTTCAAAGATTTCTTCACCATCCAGGGCATAACTCTCAAAGCAAAGAACTATCTGCATCAGTGGCTTTATCTTGAAGAAATAATTCCAGTGAAATTGAAGAAACGAGAATAACATCAACATAGAGGCTTAATGCAAATAGTGTATGTTTTCAAAGCAGTAGGATGTTACTTAATGGCAAAGGTATCTCAAATGTATACGGGTGTCCTTTTGGCAACTGGAAACACCATGATAATACTAAAATCAGTCCCTGCCATTCTTTGCCCTTTGGTGTGACATTCTCTCTTTGTGCTTGCTCTCCAGAGCATACATGAGTGTGAAGGAGCTGAAGGAGGCCTTGCAGCTCAACAGTACTCATTTCCTCAATGTCTACTTCGCCAGCTCAGTTCGGGAGGAACTTGCAGGTGCTGCCACATGGCCTTGGGACAAAGAAGCCGTCAGTCACTTGGGTAAGTGACATGAACTATGATGGATAAAAGCAAGGATATTTGAGAAGGGTGCGTGAAAGTGAGTTGTGGGGGCAAGAAATACGTAGTCAGTGAATGAATGGCTTTATGTTGAGAATGACAGTTGGGTGAGTCTATAAAAATATTTCAAAGCAAAAACTAAGAGGTGATAGATCAAATACCCAGAATGCTCTAAACTGACTCTGTAATCTAGAGGCAGGCCATTCCTGATGGCATGGGCCTTTAATAGTAACTAGTAAGGATATTGGTTCAAAATGATCACATTTCAAGGGCAAACCTGGGCTACTTACAGAGCTTGTATCACCAAATAAAAAGTAAAATGAAAGATCACAATGCATTCATGAACTTTCAGACACTACTCACGACTGCATTGAGTCTGAATAAGAATAGGCTCACAACAGTCATACAAGTCTAGAAGAAGGAATCAGGGGGCTCTATCTTTCACTCTTAGATAGATTCATAGATAGGTGAGTCATTGCCTTCAGTTGTATATTTACTGGTGACACAACCAGGCTCCAATAGGTAGTCACAATCCAATGGTCATGTAGGTAACCATGGTTAAGATAAATGGGTCACAAAACAGTCATAAGTCTGGGATAGGGACAGGTAGTTGGTGGGGCTATTAAGGATCTGAGGGACTTTAGAAAGAGTATGGGGAGTAAGTAGCTAGGATGTAGCATGCACAGGTATAGAATTGCCAAAGAGCTAACTTCATATATTTAAAAAATGAGGGCTTGTTGTCATGATTCATGTGTATGATGCCAGGCATGGATGGTTGAGACAAAAAGTATGAAATATCACTACTTCAATTTTACCTTGGACTACAGGGTGAGATCCATACTCAAAAAACAAATAAAATTTTAAAAAAACTAAAAACTAAACTGCAGCCACAAAACCCTGCATGCAAATAAATTGCTCAGGTAAGGTCCAATTTGCTGGATCCATTTTTAGTCTTAGATGGGCCTAAAAGGAAAAATACCACTAAGGTGTTCAAACTGTAAAACGTTTGGTAGTGCTGTGTCAGGAAGCAGACAGGTCTCTTGCTTAGCTCAGACTCTCAAGGAGACTCTAGGAAATTCAGACAGGTTTCAGTCACATTTCCAGGATGGCTAAATAAACTGGAGGGACCCTGTGTTCTTCATGAAAGCCAGTGTGAATTATTGTAACCTTCCTGGTAACAGTGAATGTAGAGTGGATTGTCCTAGTCAAATAATCTAATCAATAGTGAGTTGGAGTGATTTGAATTGCTTCATCTAAAGAACAGTAGCAGAGTGGCCACAGAGCACTGTCACTGTTTTGAGAGATGTGTGAAGGGCTCTAGCAGCAAGGTACACTCAACAGGCTCTGGCTCTCAATCTCAAACCTCAAAAAGTGATTCTTCTGGTCTGTATGGGAATAAATCTGCTCATTTGACAAGAGTTGTTGGGATGGAGTAGATTATTGGTTATCTTTTAATTTTATTAGATATGAAAACAGAGTTAAGATTCATTCAATAATGCAAAAGTAGATAAGCTAACTTAAACATTAACTGCTTGATGACATCAGACCTGGAGTTTGCTTCAGACTCACCAGAAAGACAGAATTCAGGCCCAAGACCCAGGAAAACGGAAAGCTCAGAAGTGGGCCTGATGTCTTATTCATGATTTTTCTCTCAGAATATTTGCTAATTATTTAAGTATGCCTTCTTGGAGCCAAAATCTAGAAACTAAGTTCAAAATAACTTCTAAGAGATTAAAAAGTAGAACAGTGGTTTCAAAAGTCCCATAACAGAAGGAAAAGGAAATGAAGTTGCTGTTCTATCAAGGAGAAGGAGCTGTGAAGATTCTGTACACTGGGATAGAGGGGCCTGGTTATACTGGACTTAAAGTCCAACCAGAAACACTCTCAACTGATGTTTACAGCAAACTCTCCTGCCTATATACTTATTGCCCAACCAAAAGAAAGTATCTTCTGAGGAAGACAATATTATCAGGAACACCTTATACAATTTTATGTATAATATCCAGCAGTCAATATAAAATCATTTGATTATCTTCAGGAAATGCAGTCAAATGACAGAAAATAAAATCAATTCAACAACAAAAACAAGACAATATGACCCATAGATTATTTAGGTATTAGAGATTTTAGACACTGGACTACTGCTTACACACATAACATAGATATGTGTGTACATATATATGTAATGTATATATATATATATTATATATATATATAATTGGCTAATATGTAAAAATACACAAAAGCTAGGGAGCTGGTTAGGAGATCTGGAATCTAGAGAAAATCATCAAGTGAAAAATTTAGAGCTGGTTTGGGGGAATTGTTTGTATTCTGTCAATCATGTTTTGAATAAATACTGATTGGCCAGGTAGGAAGTATAGGCAGATCAACCAGACAGGAAGTAGAGGTAGGTCAATGAGAACAGAATTCTGGGAAGGAGGAAGCCCATTCCTGCCAGTCCAGCCCAGATCACTGAAGAAGCAAAATGTAATCTGCCTGGATGAGAAAGGTACCGAGCCATGTGGCTAATTTAGATAAGAACAATGGGTTAATATAAGCTACAAAGGCTAATAAGTAGCCTGAGTTAAGGGGCCAATCAGTTTATAACCTATGTAGATCTGTGTGTGATTTTCTTTGGGGCTTGCTGGTTGTGGGGAACTGGATAAGACATAAACCCCAACAAACAGGCCCCCTCATGTCACATAGAGCTAAAAAGTAGCACTTAGTAATTCAAATTTAAAAATTAGTAGAAGGCTAATGATAAAGAATTAAAGACCTAAAAGAAAATTCTATAAATCGAAACTTAGAGAGGAAAATGATAAAAAGATAATAATTAGATTATTTAATTAAAAATTGCTAGAACTAGTGTTCAAAGAGATAATGGTTGACTACTTTCCAAACAGACAAAAGTTATCAATTTGCAGATCAAATATATTTTATAAATTCCCAGCAAAATAGGTTCAAAGAAGATTATGTCTAGGCCATGGAAAAACGATGAAAACCAGAGACAACGAGAAAAACCTTAAAATAAAAGAGTGGAAAAAGATTTGTTAATGAAAGATATGATAATAAGATGTAATAGCTCATCAGCAAAAATTACATGACAAGAAATGCTGTGTATTATGAGGTCATTTAAATGTTAAGGAAAATAATTAACTTAAAATTCTAAATTTGACAGAAATATCATTTGAAATGAAAAAAATGTAAAATATTTTTAGACAAATAAAATCAGAGCTAACTTATACCAGTGTTGAAAGACATCCTGAAAAAGTTTAGGAAGCAATAGGAAAACAAGTTTGCTTAGAGACAGAGAGATGTAGAAAGTAATGGATGATATTAGAGAAAATAAAATTATCATAAGCATACAGCAATGCCTTTACCTTTATATACATGTAGAATTAAAATATAACAAAAATATTACAAAGGACAAGAAAAACAGTACAGGAAATTAAGACATTTAAAGACCCCCATTTTTCTTTGTCCAGAAAAAGCACTGATTTTCACACATCATTTTAGGTATAACGTTGAGACCCATGTTGTAATGTATAGATTTTTTTCTGTCTAAAGATTGGTTGATTAGTAAGATAACAATGAATGAACAAAGTGAGGCTGGAGTCATGGCTCAGAGGTTAATAATGCAGACTGCTCCACTGCAGAGCACCCAGGTCCAGTTTCTAGCACTCACGTCCAGTACTATCAACAACCTGTAACTCCAGCTCCTGGGACTCTGACACCCTATTCTGGACTCTGTGGGTACCCACATTCATTTGCAAATAACTACACACACACACACACACACACACACACACACACACACACACACACTTTCTTTTATCTAAAAGAAAGAAACCTCCTCTGCATATACTGGATTTTTGGGATCCAGTCTGTTTGGATACTCACCTGCCTGGACCTGGAGGGAGGGGGGAGGAACTTGAACTTCCCACAGGGCAGGAAACCCTGACTGTCCTAAGGGACAAAGAGGGAGGAGGAGAGGGAGTGGGGGGAGTGGGAGGGTGTTGGGAAGAGGGGCTGAAATAGAAACTTTTATAATTTAATAAAATTTACTCTAAAAAAAAAAAGAAAGAAACCTCTGAAAAAGAAAACCAAATATAGTGACTACATTAAACATTGAATGGACTTTAGGCTCAAGTTCAAACTAAAAGGTTGTCAGACTCACAATAAGCCCTATCACCTGATGTTCCAAAGAAAGAGACAAATGTTAAATATAAGAACACAAATAGTTAAAGTGAAAGTATAGGGAAGTAAAATAAATTCCATGCAAATACCCAAAGGAAAACAGTATTCTGACATCAGATGAAGTGCACTGTTAGATGGTAGTATCAGAAATAAATAAGGCTAGTTTTATGAAGGAGTAAATTCAATTAGAAGAAGTAATTGTGATGGATTTGGATTTGACCATTAACATGCCGTGAAAAAATATTCATCTATATAAACAGACAAATCTACAGTCCTAGCTAGTGGTTTTAAGTAATTTTCTCAGAAAAGATATAACAAATAAATATTCAGTAGACTTAAAGAGATTTGACAGATATAATTAAAACTTTGATTGAATTATCAGAATCAGACTGTGTATTTACACAGAGCATAACACATGATCTTTTCATATGCCGTGGAAAACTTATCAAAGGAGTTCATGACCACAGGGTAATTTCAGAGAATGGAAGTCATAAAACTTTCCTTTCTCATCTCATTGTAAATAAGCTAGAACTTAAATAATAAGGCAATAAAAATGAGGAACCTTCCTGAGTATTTAGAAATTAAGCAATGTACTTCTAATTAAACATAGGCCAAATTATAGTGCTAACAGGAAGCTATTTTAAATGAAATGATTATAACAACATGCTATACAAAATTGCGCATATGGAGACATAAGCAAGGGAAGCTTACAGCTTTGTTTATTAGAAAAGAAGAAAGTCTGCATAACAAGACAGCAAAATGTAGCAAATTCATCTCAAAGAAGG